AAATTAAGAAAAGAATTAAGATCATTATCAAATATAAAACACAGAGACCCTGCAAACCAACAAACACGAGACAAATATCAGCAAACCCTCAAATCATACAAGTCAATACTAATACAGAAAAAAGCGGATCACATGAAATCAAAGCTTAATAAGATTGAGGAGGCAGTAGATCAGAATTCTTTTTGGGAATTATGGAAAAAATTAGATAAATCAAAAGAACCTAAACACATTCCCATCTATGACCCAAACATCTGGACCGAACATTTTGGAAAACTCTATTCCCAAAACGAACCAACCCTCACCCAAAAACATCTGACCTCCCAACTCCATAACCTGGAACGCACTGTAAAAGACCAGCTAAACCAGTTAGACCAGCCCATATTACTAATTGAACTAACAGACAAGATAAAATCCCTAAAAAATAAAAAATCCTGTGGCGTGGATTTAATATCAAATGAGATGCTGAAACACAGTAGCCCCAAACTGAAAGAGGCAATTCTCAAATTATTCAATCTTTTATTAAAAGCAGGACACTTCCCTGAGATATGGAAAGAAAATTTGATTACCCCAATCTTTAAACAGGGTGAGAAGTACGACCCAAATAATTACAGGGGCATCACAGTGAGCAGCAACCTCGGCAAACTCTTCTGCTCCATCATCAACGACAGGCTAGTTCAGTTCCTCCAAGAACACAAGATCCTTAATAGTTCTCAGATTGGATTTATGCCTAAACAGAGAACATCAAACCACATTTACACACTCCACACACTCATACAAAAACACGTCCAACAAACAAAACAAGGGAAAATATTTGGCTGCTTCATTGACTTTAGAAAAGCCTTTGATTCGGTATGGCATAATGGACTTTTCCTAAAACTAATCCAAAGTGGAATAGGAGGAAGGATATGACATTATAAAGGACATTTACAACGGGAACAAGTGCGGGGTGAAGATTAATGACAAACGTACTGATTATTTCAGTCAAACTAAAGGAGTCCGTCAAGGCTGCAGCCTCAGCCCGACTCTCTTTAACATCTATATTAATGAATTGGCTTCAGCACTTGAGAAGTCCTCTTGTCCTGGTCTGACCCTCGAGGACAGAGAAATCAAAAGCCTCCTGTACGCTGATGATCTTCTGCTGCTGTCTCCTCATGAAGAGGGTCTGCACCAAAGCCTCTCGTTTCTGGACCAGTACAGCAGCGACTGGGCCTTACCCATCAACATGGACAAGTCCAAAATCATGATCTTCCAGAAAAAACCTCGCCTTACTGACAAAAAATACACATTTACACTTGGGGGAACAATTCTTAATCATGTCACCTGCTATAATTATTTGGGTCTGACAATCTCAGCTTCTGGAAAATTTGACACGGCAATAAAAGATCTGACTGATAAAGCACGTAGGGCTTATTACAGTATAAGAAAACCCCTGTTCAAATTTAACCCACCCATTAAACTGTGGCTGAAAATCTTTGACAGCATCATCAAACCCATCCTTCTTTACGGCTGTGAAATCTGGGGCCCCAAATTTAAACTAAATTACGAATCCTGGGACAAAACCCCCGCTGAAATTTTCCACCTTGAGTTCTGCAAGAACATCCTGGGAACTCACAGAAACGCTCCAAGTCTGGGTTGCCGGGCAGAATTAGGCAGATTCCCTCTCCTATCCGAAATCCAGAAGAGAGCCGTAAAGTTCTGGTTTCATCTATCAGACGCGCAGACAGAGAGCTACCATCACTGCGCTCTCAGATACAGGGCAGGACACACAGAGAGTGACCCCATGATACATTTAGTGGAAAAACACCAACTCAATTCATCAATTCAATTTAGACACTCAAAAGTAAAAGAAATAGGGAAAATAACCAAAGAAGAATACATACACGATTGGCAGATAAAGGTCACGCAACTAAATAAATTAAAATATTTCCACAAAATAAAGTCAGATTATAAATTGGCACCATACCTGACTGATATCAGTAACTATGGTCAGAGAAAGCTCCTGACTAAGTATCGCATTAGTGACCACAGTCTGTGTGTGGAGACGGGCCGACACCAGCAGAGCTGGAGAGAGAGAGAGCTCAGACTGTGTTCACACTGCCCTGACGGAGAGAGAGAGAGAGCTCAGACTCTGTTCACACTGCCCTGACGGAGAGAGAGAGAGAGAGAGAGAGAGAGAGCTCAGACTGTGTTCACACTGCCCTGTCGGGGCCGTAGAGGACGAGCTGCACTTCCTCACCGAGTGCAGCAAGTACAAAAACATCAGGGACGCTTATTTTACACAAATAGCACAGATTATACCTCAATTCCAACAAGAGAGCCTTATAAACAAACTGTCTTATATATTGGGAGAGAAAGAAGAGTGTATTCAGCTGGCAGCGCAGTATGTGTCCTCCTGCCATCATATGAGGGAGAAGGGCTGAACCCTCTGCTCCATTAAACTGCTCTCTGTACTTATTTTTGTTATTGTATATATTTTTGTTCTTTTATTTTATTGTGATATATTTATGCATAATATGGAAATGTTTTTTTTTTTTTTTTTTTTTTTTTTTTATTGTTCACTTTTATGTATCTACATATATGTTTTTATATTACTACTGCTTTGGCAATATTGTGCTATTGTACACAGTCATGCCAATAAAGCTCAATTGAATTGAATTGAATTGAATTGAATTGAGAGAGAGAGACAACAGCAAGTGATGATGAGAGAGAGAGACAACAGCAAGTGATGATGAGAGAGAGAGACAACAGCAAGTGATGATGAGAGAGAGACAACAGCAAGTGATGATGAGAGAGAGAGACAACAGCAAGTGATGATGAGAGAGAGAGACAACAGCAAGTGATGATGAGAGAGAGAGACAACAGCAAGTGATGATGAGAGAGAGAGACAACAGCAAGTGATGATGAGAGAGAGAGACAACAGCAAGTGATGATGAGAGAGAGAGACAACAGCAAGTGATGATGAGAGAGAGAGACAACAGCAAGTGATGATGAGAGAGAGAGACAACAGCAAGTGATGAGAGAGAGATACAACAGCAAGTGAAGAGAGAGAGAGACAACAGCAAGTGATGAGAGAGAGAGACAACAGCAAGTGATGAGAGAGAGACAACAGCAAGTGATGAGAGAGAGAGACAACAGCAAGTGATGATGAGAGAGAGACAACAGCAAGTGATGAGAGAGAGAGACAACAGCAAGTGACGAGAGAGAGAGAGACAACAGCAAGTGATGAGAGAGAGAGACAACAGCAAGTGATGAGAGAGAGAGACAACAGCAAGTGATGAGAGAGAGAGACAACAGCAAGTGACGAGAGAGAGAGAGACAACAGCAAGTGATGAGAGAGAGAGACAACAGCAAGTGATGAGAAAGAGAGACAACAGCAAGTGATGAGAGAGAGAGACAACAGCAAGTGATGAGAGAGAGAGACAACAGCAAGTGATGAGAGAGAGAGACAACAGCAAGTGATGAGAGAGAGAGAGACAACAGCAAGTGATGAGAGAGAGAGACAACAGCAAGTGATGAGAGAGAGAGACAACAGCAAGTGATGAGAGAGAGAGACAACAGCAAGTGATGAGAGAGAGAGACAACAGCAAGTGACGAGAGAGAGAGAGAGACAACAGCAAGTGATGAGAAAGAGAGACAACAGCAAGTGATGAGAGAGAGAGACAACAGCAAGTGATGAGAGAGAGAGACAACAGCAAGTGATGATGAGAGAGAGAGACAACAGCAAGTGATGAGAGAGAGAGACAACAGCAAGTGATGATGAGAGAGAGAGACAACAGCAAGTGATGAGAGAGAGAGACAACAGCAAGTGATGATGAGAGAGAGAGACAACAGCAAGTGATGAGAGAGAGAAACAGCAAGTGATGAGAGAGAGAGACAACAGCAAGTGATGAGAGAGAGAGACAACAGCAAGTGATGATGAGAGAGAGAGACAACAGCAAGTGATGAGAGAGAGAGACAACAGCAAGTGATGATGAGAGAGAGAGACAACAGCAAGTGATGAGAGAGAGAGACAACAGCAAGTGATGATGAGAGAGAGAGACAACAGCAAGTGATGAGAGAGAGAGACAACAGCAAGTGATGAGAGAGAGAGACAACAGCAAGTGATGATGAGAGAGAGAGACAACAGCAAGTGATGAGAGAGAGAGACAACAGCAAGTGATGAGAGAGAGAGACAACAGCAAGTGATGAGAGAGAGAGACAACAGCAAGTGATGATGAGAGAGAGAGACAACAGCAAGTGATGAGAGAGAGAGACAACAGCAAGTGATGAGAGAGAGAGACAACAGCAAGTGATGAGAGAGAGAGACAACAGCAACTGATGAGAGAGAGAGACAACAGCAAGTGATGATGAGAGAGAGAGACAACAGCAACTGATGATGAGAGAGAGAGACAACAGCAAGTGATGATGAGAGAGAGAGACAACAGCAACTGATGATGAGAGAGAGAGACAACAGCAAGTGATGATGAGAGAGAGAGACAACAGCAAGTGATGATGAGAGAGAGAGACAACAGCAACTGATGAGAGAGAGAGACAACAGCAAGTGATGAGAGAGAGACAACAAGTGAAGTGAACAGCAAGTGAAGTGAGAGTGAGTGATAGAGAAGCTGAGAAGCCATGATCTCCATGAGCTCTTAGATTTTCTTCTTTGTTTGCTATTTTGAGAAAAGAAATATACCGAAAATCTACAAAATCTAGAAGAATACCACATACAGACGTGAACTTTGATGAAAAGAACCCAGAAAATACAGCATTTTTATTTTTAAACACAAATAATCAACGCAGAGGATCAGAAGATCAGACTTCTAGCAACAGGCCTGCTGGAAAATTGGAGGGAAAGTTTAAAACTGGAAAAGAACCACCGATTCACAGAGGGAGAAGCAGTGAGTACAACTAAAACTGCACTGGAAATCTTTTTTTTCGGCTTGTTTGCTTATTTTTTCCAAATATAAGGGCATAAAATTGATCTTTTAATATTTTTATAAGCTAAAAATGCTAAAAAGCTAAAGCTATGGCTAGCCCACACTCTGGCATTCCTCAATGTATCAATTCAACTGAGGCAGAGAGAATCAGCCAATCAGAGCAGCAGCTGCAATCAGCCCACTGCCATATGCAGATGAGCTCCCCCCTCACCACCATACAGTATCCCTCTGAGGTAAAATCTGACACCGCAAGGAAAACCTATAAGCAGAAACTTCTGACAAACAACCCTGAGACTCTGTTTGCAGACCTGTTCAAAACAGGAGAAGTCTGCAACCTCATTTTCTTCTCTGATCACCCCAGAGCCTGGCATAAAGCCATCATCCACCATTACCCCTCTGTAAAGAAAGAAGGCATCTGTAATGGCTGGAAAGTCAAAATCAGAGAACCACACGACCCTTACAGCACAGTAATAACTGTGAACATCTATAAAAATGGCACAGTCATGGTACAGGGGGACCTGAAATTATTCCAGGCAGACTACAGAACAATAGGTGAAATTGTGAAACATGAGAAAGCTGTACCATCTGAAAGCTTGTCATCTGAGCAGAATCCACCGAACAACACCTCAGATCTCAGATCCACTCCTGCAGAAACTGTTGAGCACACCTCACCCTCCCTGCTCAAAGCTATCCCTCTCCTGCAGGAGCACTTCACCAAGCTGGAGATGGAGATGGTGCAGCTCAGAGAAACTGTGCTGAGACAGCAGCAGTCAGACACATGTGCAGCTCATACTGAACTCCAGCAGAACATCGAGCACTTAACACAGAGACTATCAGCCCTCACACAGCAAATGAGACAGCTGCAGACAGAGAAGGACAGCTATCAGTGTGAGCTGACCGCACTGAGACAGCAGCTAGAGGACAGAGAACAGTCCACAGCAGAGATGAGGCAGCAGCTGAGAGAGATACAGGAGGAGAGAGAGCAGCAGAGCAGTGAGATCCAGGCCCTGAGAGAGCAGCTGAGAGAGATACAGGAGGAGAGAGAGCAGCAGAGCGGTGAGATCCAGGCCCTGAGAGAGCAGCTGAGAGAGATACAGGAGGAGAGAGAGCAGCAGAGCGGTGAGATCCAGGCCCTGAGAGAGCAGCTGAGAGAGATACAGGAGCAGAGAGAGCAGCAGAGCGGTGAGATCCAGGCCCTGAGAGAGCAGCTGAGAGAGATACAGGAGGAGAGAGAGCAGCAGAGCGGTGAGATCCAGGCCCTGAGAGAGCAGCTGAGAGAGATACAGGAGCAGAGAGAGCAGCAGAGCGGTGAGATCCAGGCCCTGAGAGAGCAGCTGAGAGAGCTCCTCCTGGCCAGAGAAGAACCAGAGCAGACCCACAGAGCTCCAACACTGCCCTCCACCCCAGAGTCACCGAACACAGGGAGTCAACACCCATCCGTCAGCGCAGAGAGACCCGACCCAGACCGCTCACAGCCATCACAGCGCCCCGTGTCAGGCTCCTCAGCACAGCAGCACCAGCCCTCGTCTCACAGCAGCCCAGCACCAACCAGCACAGAGGAACCTGAAATAGCTCTACTCATCGATTCAATCGGCAAATTCATCGATGTGAAGAAACTTTTCCCCCAACACAGAGCAGTTAAATTCTGGTGTCCCACCACTGACAAAGCCCTGGAGCTCCTGACGGAGTCCCAACTAGGCCGGCCCAGCCACATCATTATCCACACGGGCACCAACGACCTGCGGAGCCAGCAGGACCGAGTGTCTGACTCCCTCAGAGCTGTGGTGGAAAAAGCTAGACAAACTTTCCCCAACTCCAAAATCATCCTGTCCACTCTACTCCAGAGGAGAGATTTCCATCCCAACACAATCAATAAAATTAATTCCAGCATCTCTAGACACTGTGCCCTCCTGCCCAACGTCCACTTGGCCCATCATACAGACCTGGACACTGAATGTCTATACGACCACGTCCACCTTTATAAGAACCTGGTACACATCCTCGCAAAGAGACTCAAAGATGTCACTCTAAACCGGACCAACCAGACCAGCCCCAGGTGGAGCAGAACCAGCCCGAACCCAGTCAACCCATCGAGACACACTCCAGCAAACTACATCCCAGCCCACAGCTCATCTAGAGCCCCGCCCAGAGCCCCGCCCGGAGCACCACCCGGAGCACCACCCAGAGCCCCGCCCGGAGCACCACACCGAGCACCAGCACCCAGACAGGACCCCTACAGACTGTCCTACAACAGCCCCACAGCTCCAGCAGCTGAAGCCCATCCACAGCAGAGCCCGGCCCAGCCTAGCAGACCGAGCTACGCCCAAGCTGTCAGCGGAGGAGCAGGCCGAGCCAACACTGAACTCCACGACATACAACACATGCTGAGTATCATCTGCTCTCACCTACTAACACACAGTGGACAGTGGTAAAAAAAAAAAAAAAAAAAAAAAAAACACACACCTACGTAAGTCTGTGGTATTAATGTACATTTAATATGGAATTGTTAATATTTTGAGTTCCTGACATAACTTTACTTCCATCATTCATTGTTTTAAATTAATCTATTGTAATTTTGCATCATTTATCTTTTCTCAAAATAGCAAACAAACCATACACATTACTTTCTATGATGAAATCACTTAGTTTTTCTACGTGGAATATTCAAGGTCTAAACTCCGTCTTTGGCCTAAAAAGTAGAAATTCAGATTTTATGAAAGAACTTCAAGACCTAGATGTCATCGTCTTACAGGAAACCTGGTGTAGAGGAGATGCGTTCACTGGCTGTCCCTCAGGATACAGAGAAATAATATTACCATCAGTAAAGCTCACATCAGTCACACAAGGGAGAGACTCGGGAGGGATGATCATATGGATCAAATCTGAACTGGCCATAGAATTAATCAAAAGAGAACAGCACCACCTGTGGCTAAAAATACAAAAAGGAATGATATCAGCATCTAAGCCGGTTTTCCTTTGTGCAATTTACATTCCTCCCCTCGAGTCTCCGTATTTCCAAGAGGAAACTTTCCAAAACATAGAGAGAAAAATCAGCCATTTCCAGGCCCAGGGAAATGTGCTGCTTATGGGTGATTTAAACGCCAGAACAGGAGAAGAACTAGATTTCATTGAATCGCACGGTACCAGATTCATCACTGGCAATAACGACCTGTACCCTTCTTACCCCAGCAGGCAAAACTGTGATGAAACCGTGAACGCTCACGGACGGCAGCTACTACAGCTCTGCCGAGGACTGGCTCTGTACATCGTCAACGGAAGACTGCGAGGAGACTCGCTCGGCCGATACACCTACAGCTCAGCTCTTGGTAACAGCACAGTAGACTATGCCATCACAGACCTAGACCTGTCCTCTTTGAGAGCATTCACAGTCAAACCCTTAAAACCTTTCTCAGACCACAGCCAAATCATCCTCTATATAAAGCAATCTGAAACAGCACCCAAACCAATTAAGACTCCATATCAAATGAGCAAATTAATGTCTTTCAAATGGACTGAAAACAGTGGCAGTAATTACAGCACTGCCATTGAATCTCCAGAAATACAGTCCCTCATACATTCATTCCAAATACAGGAATACCCTAAAAACCAATTCGGCATCAATCAGGAAGTACAAGATCTAAACAACATATTCTACAAAACAGCACAAAAAAGTAATTTGTCAATTGTTAAACCAAAGAAAAAATATTTATATACAGACAAATGGTTTGATTTGGACTGTAAGGCTCTGAGAAAAAACCTCAATTTATCAAACCAAAAACACAGACAACCAGATAATTCGGACCTCCGCCTTCTTTACTGTGAGGCATTAAAACAATATAAAGCCACACTCCGGCGGAAAAAAGCACAGTTTCTGCAAAGCCAGTTTGAAGAAATTAAAAAATCTATAAACTCACACAAATTTTGGGATAAATGGAAATTGTTATACAAACCAAATCGAGAAGTTCTGGCAATCCAAGACGGGGAGAAGTGGAAAAACCACTTCCAAGAACTATACAGCCCAACTGAAATTCAAAATTATAAACAAAATGAAATAATTAATAAACTAGACAATTTGGAAAGATCAATCAAAGAAAATCAAAACCCTTTAGATTTCCCCATAACAATGAAAGAATTGGAAGAAAAATTAGGAGTCCTTGAGCCCAAGAAGGCCTGTGGTGTCGACAGCATCCTGAACGAGATGCTGAAACACACTGACCAAAGCTTCAAACTGGCCATGCTGAAACTGTTCACTGATGTTCTGTGTGTAGGGTTCTTCCCTGAGATCTGGAACAAGGGCCTCATCAGCCCCATCCACAAGAACGGAGATAAATTAGACCCCAACAACTACCGAGGCATCTGTGTGAACAGTAACCTGGGGAAGGTCCTCTGCAGCGTCTTAAACTCCAGACTTTCAGACTTCCTTATGAAGCACAATGCCTTGCGTAAATGCCAAATTGGCTTTCTTCCAAAATGTCGCACATCCGACCACATGTTTACATTACAAACACTAATTGACAAATATGTACATCAAAACAAAGAACAAATTTTTGCTTGTTTTATTGATTTCAAGAAAGCCTTTGATTCAATCTGGCATGAAGGACTATACCTAAAACTCATCGACAGTGGAATAGGGGGGAAATTCTATGATTTGATCAAATCGATGTACACAGCCAGCCAATGCGCTGTTAAAATTGGAAACCAAAGAACCGAGTTTTTCCCCCAGGGGCGTGGAGTGAGACAGGGCTGCAGTTTAAGCCCCACCCTCTTCAACATTTACATCAACCAATTAGCCGATATATTAGAACATGCTCCCTTTCAAGGTCTCACTCTACACGACACCGAGATCAAGTGTCTTCTCTACGCAGACGACCTGGTCCTCCTGTCGCCCACTAAAGAGGGGCTTCAGGACAGCCTGGATCTGCTGGAGGATTACTGTCAGTCCTGGGCCCTGACCGTCAACCTCCAGAAAACTAGAGTCATGATGTTCCAGAAACGCTCCAGATCTCAGGGACCAACACACACATTCACACTATCACACAGAACCATTGAGAGCACAAAAACATACACATACCTCGGCCTGAAAATAACTCCAACTGGCAACTTTACTTTGGCTGTGAATGAACTCAAAGAGAAAGCTCAAAGGGCTTTCTATGCCATAAAAAGATCAATCAAAATTGACATCCCAATCCAAATTTGGCTCAAACTTTTCAAATCAATAATTGAACCAATTGTTTTATATGGCAGTGAAGTGTGGGGTCCTTCTATCAAATTTGATTTTTTAAATTGGGAAAAACATCCGATTGAAACTCTACATTTTGATTTCTGTAAAAAAATTCTCAAAGTCCAAAGGAAAACACCAAACAACGGATGCAGGGCAGAATTAGGCCAATACCCTCTCCTTCTAAACATCCAAAAAAGAGCCATCAAATTCTGGAAACACCTAAAAACAAGCGACCCCAACACATACCATTACAAAGCCCTACAACACCAAGAGCTGAGCGTAGCGAGGAGTCCCCTGTGCCAGCGGGTGCTGAGACTGACTGGGCTCTCTCCTGCAGAGATCAGCTCGCCTCAGCACACACTCACACTCACACACATTCGGCCCCACAAATGATCACCACAGAACAAGACAAGTACATCACCCATTGGACAAACACCATTAAAAACCAACACAAACTGGAATGTTATTCGGCACTAAATCGAGAGTACACTGTTGCGAACTACCTGAGCACAGTGAGTGATGTGAGACTCAGGAGAACCCTGACGATGTACAGACTTAGCGAGCACAGCCTGGCCATAGAGACGGGCCGGCGCAGACAGACCTGGCTCTCCCGTGAGGACAGACTCTGCCCGCACTGCACCCTGGGAGTGACGGAGACCGAGCTGCACTTCCTCACAGAATGCCCAAAATATAAACGCATCAGAGACCACTATTACTCCAAAATTAATCAAATATTTCCCCAATTTAACACCTGTAACCCAACCCAAAAACTCCGTTTCATTCTTGGCGAAGAAGCCAAATGCTCAAATATAGCTGCAAAATTTGTATCATCCTGCCATATCCTGAGGGACGACCAGAGACCAGCAAACATCCAATAAACACACACTCACTCACAGCCTAAGACCTACACACACACACTCACTCACAGCCTAAGACCTACACACACACTCACTCACAGCCTAAGACCTACACACACACACTCACTCACAGCCTAAGACCTAAACACATGTATATGTTCAATTCCAAGTTCAGTGTTCGTTTGTTTTTTGCTTGTTTTTGTTTTGTACATAGATGTTTTCTAAATCCTTTATATTTTATTTATTAATCTTTATTATTAATGTTTATTTTATTATTATTGTTTTATGCTATCAGTATTATTATTTTGTGTACTAAATGTTCTAAATCATTTTCTATATGTTGTTTTGATGCTTTGGCAATACAAAATGTATTTTTTTGTCATGCCAATAAAGCTTTCTGAAATGAAATGAAATGACAACAGCAAGTGATGATGAGAGAGAGAGACAACAGCAAGTGATGAGAGAGAGAGACAACAGCAAGTGATGATGAGAGAGAGAGACAACAGCAAGTGATGAGAGAGAGAGACAACAGCAAGTGATGATGAGAGAGAGAGACAACAGCAAGTGATGAGAGAGAGAGAGACAACAGCAAGTGAAGAGAGAGAGAGCATACAGGCATGATACAGTGATACAGGCCCGATGGCGCTGGTTACAGAGGTAGCAGAACATTAGACTGAATGGACGGTTGTGATATCTAAATTCACTGAGTATAATCTCAGCATTGCTGTTTGGTATAGGCCTATAGCAGATTTGCCAGTATTCAAAAAAGGAAAACATTAATGATGTTTCAAAGTCCAGTTTATACCAGACCTGAGCTCTTATATCAAGATTTTTAAATGATCTGAAAATATCCTGTCGTGATTCAAACTTATTTGATTGTTTTACTCTAAATTGGTGGTTGTCAGATGAAGAAACACATGATCACAGTGAAGTGTCACTAACATGTGAATCATCTATTCTTGCCGTTTACAGTAATGTAAGAGCGTGGGAAATGCCTAAAGGGTCTAATGATTAGACACAAAGCTATAATAAAATTGTAGATCAGAAATGATATGTAGAATATGGAAAACAAAGGCATTTTTCAAATGTTTGTTTCACAGTGGTGTGATTTTACCAGTCAGGGCCGCACCTCAATTTACTAACATTTGTCTGTAAATTAGACACCGATTGATAGAAATGATCTATGAACTACTGTATAAAGTATAAAGTAAATGGACATTTTGGCATGAAGAAGTGCAGAATATAACATCAACTAAGTAACAAAGTTATTTTAACATTATGCTCATTTACGGTAAATGATGAGAGATCGTGAAGATATTCTCGTTCATATCAGAGTCTCATAAAGAAAGAGAGGTGTACATTTTCGTTTACCCTAAGTTGAACTTGTGTGTTGTTCTTCGCAAGGACATGATTGTGATTGATTCTGATTGTTGATGGGTTTTTTTTTTTCAAAAAACAAAGGAAGACAGAAAAGGAGAAGTGAACAAATGATTAGCAAAATATTGTAAAGCTCTTTAATTTTGGCCTGTCATCTATACAATAACTACGTCTTCGGCATAATGTACAGGCCAGCCGTTTTCACACCTCACCACAATCTTACTAGTGTCTCTGACCCCTCTGTATTCACAGTGTGGGCGTCTCTCCCCACTGTGTTTTTTACAAATGATCACAGGAAAAGGATTGTTACTCATACGGTTAAGGTCCTTTTGAGTTCCTGCTGCGCCACAAACTGCTCTAACATCGTTTTTATTTGCTTTTATAAAGGTGTTGATTTTTTTGCAGCCGTTGGTTTTGGAATCCATGATTTTTCTTCTGTATATCTCACTGTCACATTTCTGTACAGTCATGGCACCAAACACATGCTGCTTGAGGAACTTCTCATAACCTTCTGGTTGAGCATGAGTGGAGAACGACACACACAAGACCAGCAGCAGAATCACAGCAGACTGATGAATCTCCATGACCTGCTGAACAATACACACATCAAAACACCTTTACTGACATTTGACTTAGTGAAGAAAATACTGCTGAGACATTTCATTTGTTTTTACTTGCACAAATCTTAGTTACTTTAACCCAGCTGGGCACTTTTTCGTACACGGTTTCATGTAGTCCCTTTGTTTTTTCTGTATTATACATCTTGTACGTGCTGAGTAAATTTCTTAAGCTCTTACCTTGTTGTTGTGCATGGTTAAATTAATATTTTGTTGTTACTGTTGTTACTCATACTCAGTCAGTATGCTATGTTTCCAGTGAATCTAGCTCGTGTAGCCTAATCGAACTGATCTAATAGTGAATTTAGCTGACAATGTCAATATAGGGAAGTGAAATTAAAACAACACAAATGCAGTGCAAATTCAAAGGAAGAAAGAACATGTTAATCAATATAGCGCTCAAATACCTAAAGTAATGTTACTGTTTGCTAGCCTTGTATGATGATCTCATCTCTGTTAGTTCTACCAGAAAGAATCGGGAGATAGAATGATATAACAAAGCATATATTTACTAGAAGCCCAGCAGGCAAATATTTATAAAGTTCTTTGGCGTAGGCCCTGTCCGTAGCGCGCCCTGTTCCGAGGGTAGCGGAAACTGCATTTCCTGCCTGAAAATGAAGGCAGGGGCGCAGCCGATACCCCGGGAGGTATGGGAAGGGACCATCCTGGTGGTGGTGGGGAGGATGGAGGTAATTGGCATCGTCAGCATCTGCGAACATGTGTAAGTACCAATCTTTTATACTGCAAGTATTAGCACATGATTGGTTAGATGTGAAGGCAATAAGTAACGCAACTATTGAGAATTCCTGACAGAACTTATGCTAAAGCTTTCATTTCTCACCATTTATTCCAAGGGTATGACCGATTGTTTTACAGGTATTGTCTTTAAAGTATCCTTAAAAAGGGTTTTGACTTGTCAAACGGTGGTAGATCCATTTAACTTCTCCACAATGTCGGCCGCCATTTTAAATTCGCAAACCCTTAAATTCGAATGGATTCTGATTGGCTGTCAGGGTTTTATCGTTCAACAGCTAGGAAAAAAATATGAAAGTGATCCCAAATATAATTTCTCTTACAGTGGTGCTGACTCTGCTATTCTTTTATTTTTTAAACTATATCTTTAGGGCTGCCATCTTTCACGCACCCCCCTCCCTCCCTTTCCATAATTCTCACTCCAAGCTAAACTCACAAGTTGGCAACCCTGATCTTTAGGAGGCTTTTTGAACACTGTAAAAATGTCTAACCTCCCAACTCAAAAATGTTCTATTGATTGTCACATCTAAATTTTTCAAATGGCCCAAGTGAAATTCTGCAAAGTGTTCAAATTAAATTAGCAGAATTTCACTTGGGCCAATTGAAAAATTTAGATGTGACCAGTGTGACCAAAATTTTGAGTTGGGGAGGTTTGTATTTTTTTTACAGTGAAGCTTGCTGGCTAACATCTACAAGAACATTAAATTATGGCCCTCAGTTGCACTCGTGTGCATGCCTTTTGTCTGGTCTCTTTCATTATCCTAACAGATTCTCCCTTGAAGTACAAGATGCTTTAACATAATACACCTCATCTCAATTGGCTCCCAGTGACAATCTCGCATCTCAACTTCCAACTTTTTATCTACCTCAACTCTAAGTGCTGGTGAAGAGAATGGAAAGACATTAGAGATTCATATTGAAAAGTGCCAGACAATCAGCCAGGCAATGACACTTATTGGAACAAATCATACAAAACAAAGTGCTATCAGTGGAAAGATCATGGATGCAATACTTGTAGGCAAGACTACAAGTCATACTCTACAAATATCTTCCATTATACTGGATTGCATATATTTTACATATCTTTTTAGGTCTGCAGGAGCAGTCATATGGCAACAGGGAAAACTAACACAAGGGACAAAAGGAAAGTTGTCCAGGCTATATTGCTGGCAATAAACCTCATTGCTTGTGCCATGTACCGCACATTCTTTGAATTTGGTTGTTGCCGATGCCTCACAAAGCTCCAAAGATGCTACTAGTTGTTTTGACAACCTGCAGAAGATATTCATCCTTATCTCATCTTCCATCAAGAAATATATATTGAAAACCCATATCAATATTACACTACAGTCATGGGCAGAGACCAGGTGAGAGAGCCGTGAAGACATTGTGGAAGCCATTAAGCCCTACTGGAGGTAAAATAAATGTCAACAGATCCAGCCTTGAAAATTGATGCTCAGTCTTTAGCAGAGGAAATTGGATAATTTAGTTTCCCTTACCATGGATTAATCAACAAGGCCACTATAGACACCTTTTTTTAAACATTGTAAGTTATTCAGAAATGTTTGGTGGTGTCTGATACCATATGACCAGATTTACTGTAGTAACAATCACTATAACTATGGGTGAAAGTGAAATAATTTATAACCTGATGTTTCAATGTTAGCTTAGTCCATTATTATTTCTGACAACATGCAAACATATTTTGGAGACATAAATTCCAGCTGTAATGAGTAAATCATATATTTTTAATAATATTTGTCACATAAACACACAAACATTTTTCAAGTTAATTTCCTTGCTTCAGCAATAAAAAAAACATGGTGGGTTTTAAAGCACTTTTCCCCCCTTGGCTGATGTAAAGTTAATGAAAACAGAAAGAGAGAAATAGTCTATAAATATATTCTTACTAAAAAAAAAACCTGCTTACTAAAAAAACTTAAGTGTTAGAAATCTAAAGCATTTGTTTCCACTTATTACTTGATGGTTAAATCTGAGGTACAGGCCTGAGGAGTTTGGTATTTATTTGGTGTGACACTTAAAACAAATTAGTCCCTATTGAGTCTATTTACATATTTAAAATGAGCACCATACAAAAGACACCATCCACCATCCAAAAAAGGAACAAAAGAACAAGAGTATTGCCAAAAGAAAGAACCAAAGTCAGCTTGCATTATCAAACAGTGATAATATTCTACATATCAGCAAAATACAATAATGCCATAAGTTTAGAAAACAATCACTCATAAAAACCCAGCTGAACACAATAGAACGGAAAGACACAAGATTCTTGACAAACACAACTGAATATAATTCATGACCAAAACTGAATGAGACACAAGATAACAAAAAACAGACAAATAACATGTCTCTTCATCTTTCTACTTACATGCCAACAAACAACATGAAAGAACTAATCAGCACCTCATACAATATCTGAATTTGACCATTTCATTGTGACTCATTTTTGCACATTTTAACAATGAAGATAAATATATATCTACCAAACGTATGAAGACATACTATGATTTAATTGCTATAAAAATGGCATTGTTTTGTAACATTCCTCCTGACAACATCACACCAAGTATTTTCATAAATGCTCGAATGCACCAATTTTAAAATAAATAAATGAATATGAAAGAGCTGCACCAAGATAATCAAGGCCGGTTTTGGTTCTGGTGTAGATGCTGGACATATAAAAAGCCATGATGCTATTCACAGTTGGTCAAGTGTTTTCTGATCAAGGTGGATAACTAAGGGTTAGTGTTAATGTTTAAACTAAACACCAGCAAAATATTGATACCAGACTTTTCCATTAACAGCAACAATACCAGTAAAAACACCTACAGTATCAGTGGTGCAGCACATATGTCCTCTGAGACTGCGAGGAGTAAAATCCGGGTCATAATGCGTGTCTTGGTGAGGTATTTCTGGAAATGCAGTCAGTTCTATCAGCGAGGATGTAAACAGGCAGGACATTATGATTGATGTGTCAAACCAGTTAAGTGCATAGGTCATATAATGAAATGACAAGATAATCACTCACTGTTCGTGTCTGTATCACTTTAACAGCTTTAATAAACCTTTATATACTGAGAAACATCTAGCACTCGCTGGTCTACTGCTGCTCGTTTACCATTTAAAGGTGCAGTAAGCGATTTCTGAGAAAAGTGGATCGGATCGAGCACCAAAATACACTTGGAGCAAATCAGCAGGTGTATGCACTCATGATGGGTTGAGGTGCCTGTGTTGCATAGCCTGTTTCTGAAATTGGGGGCGGAGCTGTTTAAGATAAAGGGGCAATCCTATTGGGTAGGGGCGGGTTTGTCTTGGTGATTTTAAATATCAATAGTGTTTCACAGAAATGTATTTTTCTCTAAATTTTTTATTTAAATCACTAAAAAACGATATCGAATAATTTTTTTTATGTCATATTTAAATTGGTATGTAATAGGTGAAATTTGACTGGTATTGGTACTGAAAATTTGAAATCCTGGAATCGAGACACAATTACTCTGTGAGCGATGAGAGTTTCAGCTGATCTTCTCTCCATCATTTCCTAATTCTTTTCAGTGTCCCTTACAATTAAAGTATCAAAATTATCAATCATGTTACATTTTTTTATTGGCTGCCTCAATCTCAGTCTGATTTTTGGATGATGTTTAAAGGAATGTCATTCGGGTCACATAGTGGGTTGCCACAAGCAACATCCTCCTGTAGGAAAACACAGATTCACAGATGGTTAAAGGTGACATATCATGAAAATCTGACTTTTTCAGTGTTTAAGTGCTATAATTGGGTCCCCTGTGCATCTACCAACCCAGAAAACAAGCCGATCAGATTTCGCTCTTATTTATTACCGCCGCTTAATCTGCATGTGACTGCCCACGGCGCCGCCATTTGGTTTACAACAGTGTAACTAGTCCTAACACAATGGCAAAAGTTCGAGCAAAGCATGCAAACTGTTCTGTCGTCGCTGCACAGATGAGCAGACAAAACTATTTAGAGTCCCAGACTCAGATGGTAAATGGACTGCATTTATATAGACTAAGTGACTGCAGACATGCAGTCCAGATGGTAAATGGACTGCATTTTTATAGCGCTTTCACAGACCCAATGGCCACCAAAGCGCTAGGGCTGTCAACTTTAGTCGTTTAGTCGACTAATCGGTCGATGCCGTCTTGGTCGACTGACATTCTTATTGGTCGACCAGTTGCATTTTTTTTTTTACCAATAGAAAGAAATTTT